ACCCCCCTGCTCCTCCCTGCAGGTTTCAGCGCCTCGATTTTGTCTACCTCAACGCGGGGATCATGCCCAACCCACGGGTGAACATCACGGCGCTCTGGCACGGTTTCCTCACCGGGTAGGAGGTGTTGAGGGGCTGGGGGGTCTGGCCCGTGGCTTCTGGGCAGCATGGGGTGCTGACAGCATTGTCACAGCCAAGGTGTGTCCGTGGGTCCAGGGTCACGCCACTGTCCCTGTGGGGTGGGCTTGGCTTAGCCGGGGTGCTCTGAGGTTCCATGTGCTGCTTCTGATCACCAGTGTGGGATCCCCTGCGCGCCAGGGGAGGGCGAGGACCCACCCAAAGCTCCTGACATCAGGGGTTGAGTGAAGCATGCTGGTGTGGTGTTGGGGAGGTGAAGTTTGCTCCTGCTGGGTCTCCTTGCTGCTGTTTTGGTTCCACTGCAGGCTCTTGTAGGTGTTCTCAGCTGTGGATGCTGTGTTGTGTGCAGCGGTAGTTGATATGTATCTCCATGGAGATAAGCATCGTTATTCTATGAGCAACATGAAGAAGTTGAGCTGGGGAGGAAAGTGACTTGCGTTGAGTCTAACAACAGCGGTTTGGGTGTTGCACATAAGGGCTAGACTGCTCTCCTTAGCCCCGTTAGCCTTGGCCCTAGAGATTAGCTCCAGGCTGGAGCTTGGTTTTGTTATCTGAAGGGGAAGTGGCAGAGCAAGACTCTTTTTTGTTTGTTTGTTTTTAATGGTACTTTACTGTGGTGCAGTGAAGGAGGAGACAAGGCTGCTCTGGTCTAGTCAGTATTGAGACACTTGCAAATAGGCTGGGATACTGTACACTTCTTCCAGCCATTTTTCTATGGATTAATAGAGCCCTTGAAGATGACACTGGGGAGTCTGTCTGGAACTTGCAAGTTGGGGGATGCTTCTGAAGAACTGATGTGAGGGAGCAGTAGATCTCTCCCAGCAGTGTTCCTCTCTAACTCCTGTCCTTGGCTTCCAGGAAGGTGCTTCACATGCTGACCACTGCAGAGGGCATAATGACCCAAACGGACAGGCTGAATGGAGACGGGCTGCAGGAGGTGTTTGCCACCAACCTCTTCGGACACTTCATCCTGGTGAGGCTGTGTATGAAGATCGAGCCCTCAGCCTGGTGGTTAATATGGGTAGGGATGGGTGCAGGGGGTACTGATTAATCCAGCAGCTGCTTGTAAATGCTCCTGGTGGACCTTGGACTGAATTAGACCTCAATAGTGGCTGCTTCTGTCTAGTCTAGTGAAGACTGGCCAAGAAAGCTGAGATAAACTCACAGCTTTTAACTGTAAAGCTATACTGACAGCTTTAAAATTACTGCATTAAATAAGTTAACAATTCTCTTGCAGGTTCGTCAACTTGAGCCTCTACTTTGTGGTAATGAGAATCCCTCACACCTCGTCTGGACCTCTTCCAGCAATGCCAGGAAGTCTGCCTTCAGACTCTCTGACTATCAGCATGCCCAGGGGCAGGAATCATACAGTTCCTCCAAATACGCTACTGACCTGACCAGTGTGGCTCTGAACAGGAAATTTAATAAGCAGGTAACGATGGTGTTTGTATGTCTGGAGAAACCTAATGCGCTCTGTCTACTTCTAGCTGTCATTGCATTGTTGTTACCTAGCTGCATTAATTCATAGCAATCTGATTATGTCCCTGTCCTAGTTTCGGCAGGGATAGAGCTAATTGTCTTCTCAGTAACTAGAATAGTACTGTGTTTCGGATTAGTATAGGATTTGGTATGAGAAGAATGTTGATAATATACTGATGTTTTTAGTTCTTGCTAAGAAAATCAAGGACTTTCCGACTTTCCATGTTTTGCTAGTCTGCAATTGCAGAAGAAGCTGGGGCAGGGAGGAGGACAGGGGGGTAACATATCAAGAGCAAGAGACTCAAATTGGTCAGTGGAATATTCCATATTATATAAAATCATGCTCAGTGTATAGATGAGGGTTGGCTAGGAAGTTCTGTCTTCGGGAATTGGGGTTTTGGGATTTTCTCCAATCTGGGATCACTAGCTGGGAACAGGCTGGGCATCAGTCAGTGGGTGATGAACAATTGCACTGTGCATCACTAGTTTGCATATTCTATTATTGCTACATTATTATCATAATTATTATTTTGAATTTTATGTTATTTCAGTTATTAAATTGTTCTTATTTATATCCATGAGTGTCCTTACCTTTACCCCTCCAATTCTCTTTCCCATTCCCTGGGCCAGGGGAGGGTGAGCAAGCAGCTGTGTGGTGTTTTGCTGCTGGCCGGGTTAAAATGACTTAACAGCTCCTTAATGCATGTGTAAGAACTAAACACAGCCAAGGCTGAACTGGTGGCGTGGGTGATGGAGAATCTGCCAGAGAGGTTGCTTCTGGGATTCTTGTTCATGGGTTTTGGCTGCAAGCAGAAGTTTTCAGGAGCAATCTGTATCTTGCAAGCTTCTAGCTGTCTCTTAAGACCAAAGGACTGGTCTTAAAGAGCAAAGAGCTGCTGCTGTTCTCAGGCATCCCTGCCTACCAGGGCTGCTCAGGCAGCTTTGCCTGCAAACACTTGAGGTGCAGGCTCTGCTGTCTCTCCTGATGGCTCCATGCTGGTACTCACTTGCCACACTGAGATGTAGGAGCAACCTGCCTTCCCTGTCACACGGGGCTGGTGGATTTTGTTGGCAAGCTGCAGCCTTAGTCCAGCAATAGTGCATGTACTCCATTGAAATACTACAGGGGAAAATGGTTTAGTCCTAGAAGGCTGAGCTCTTGCCTCTTAAAGGTGAGGCAGCCCTTGATCTGAGCAGGCTGTGGTTTGTGGGATGCCTGCTCTCGCTGCTGAGCTGCATGTGGGCTGCAGTGTGAGGCTATGATGTGCTGGGAGGCTGTGTCTTTGGTCTCATGGGCTTGTGATGGGCACAGATTTAACATGAACATCTCCAGTTTGGACCTGTTAAAAATCACTACATCTAATGTCTCTGGCTCTGGTAACTTTAGAGAGGATAGCATCTACTATTAACAGGTGTCTATACTCACCTTTGCTTCCTTGCTGAGAAGTACTAGGAGGGAAGGAATATGATCCATTCTTAAACTAACTGTTGTGTATTTGCACACTGACTTGGCTTCTTCTCTGCAGGGTCTGTATTCCAGTGTTGTTTGTCCCGGTCTTGTTATGACTAACATGACCTACAGAATTTTGCCAGTTTTTCTGTGGATGCTGCTAATGCCCATCATGTGGTTGGTAAGTGGATCTCCTGGCTGATTTTGGGGTGAGGTTGCCCCACTGTGATAGACTTCACTGCAAGTGATGTGCAGTGTTCTTTGGGCTCCTTGCTACCCATGCTGCTATACAGCTTGTCCTTCTGTTGGACTGGGCAGGCTGGTCCCTCTGCAAACCTTCACTTTAGCACCTCGAGGCCCCAATTTCCAGGCTGAGTTGGGAGGTGTGGTGCTGGACAGCACTGTGTGGAGAGCCAGGGTTCAGCCCCTCAGCCAGAGCAGCATTGGCCAAGGCTCCCCTTAGAAGGTTTGCCAGCCTGCTGTGGGCTTGTGAAACCCTGTCACTTTGGTGGCAGCAGAGCTCAGGACAAACATGGCCCCTGTGCTTTGAAATGCTGTTTGTTTCTGAAACAGGCTCTGTTATCTTTCAGTGTTCTTCTTCCCATCCCTCTAGAAGGCAGTGTCTCCTGCTCTTTTCTTTCTGTCCCTCTAGAAAGCAAAGCCTCCTGCTCTCTGCTGCCTCTTCCACTGCTTCCCCAGAACTTTCCTTGCCTTTCTTCCTCAGGACTTCAGCTTTTTGGGTTCACTACAGTTCACACTCCCTGCTCAGACCCTTGCTGCTCCTGCTGCAAGATTGGCCTTTTTTCTTCAGCTGCCCCAGCTGGCAGTGGCTGATCCTGACAGATCACGTTTCTCCTGGCAATGGAGAGGCAATGCCTTCTCACTTGTCCTCAGCACCAGCAGTGTTGCAGATCCTCTCTGCCTCCTGCCTGATGTGCTCTTGAGACCATTCAAGAAGAGGTGCCCACAAGGCTTATGCGTGGCCCGTTGTCTCTTGCTTTGGGGGTGAGCCTTGTGTGGGGCATGGAGCAAGGCTTGCTGATCTGATGGGTGGCTGCAGAGGCCAGAATTTGTCATGGTGAAGGGATGCTTTAGTCAAAAGTGTGCAGTGTTACCTGTAGTCAACTCTGAGAAGCATTTCTACCTCTGGTAGATCATCTGGTGTAGCTGGGCTGCAGAGGGCTTGCCAGAGAAACCTTGGGACAAAATACAGACTCTGTCATGTACTTCTTTTCCCATCAGATTCGCTTTTTTGCCAAAACTTACACTCTGACACCCTATAATGGAGCAGAAGCTCATGTAAGTAGTTCACAACTTGATGTTGATATTCCTTCCTTCTGGGTAGCTCTTCCAGGGTCTGCTGGCTTGAGCAAAGAGCCTCTCAGCAAGCCTGGTGAGCGAGTGCTGTGTGTCACCCCTGCATAGCATGCAGCAGTGAGTGCTGGGGGACCAGCTGTGGCCAGGGCTGCTCTACCAGCTGATGCTTTATGCCCTTCATCAGATGCCCATGAAATAAATGACTTCGGGAAAACACTGTTCCTTCCCCCTTGGTCAGGGAGAATGCTGCTCTCCCAGCTGGTGGTCAAGCAGCTGCAGACATGCAGGCACAGGGGACAGATGGAGGTGGGTAATGTAGGGCACATATGTCTCTAGAACAGTAGTGAGCAAGTTGAGCCATGTGAACTGCTTTAGTGCTTTAACACTGGGGCATAAACATGGTTTACTGCTGGCTCTGGTAGGTCATAGCTGATGGGAGCCAGCCTGGACCTTCTCTAGATGTCAAGTCTCCTCCTGCTTGGTGGAAGCACCTGTGGTGTGTTCTGTGTCCATGGCCAGTCAGGTCCTTGACTGTGGGCTCGGTTGGGACAGTGTGTGCTTGACTCCTACATGTTTGTGCTGTTCTTCCTAGGTATGGCTCTTCAAACAGAAGCCAGAGTGCCTGGATGCACTTGTCAAATACCACAGCTGTACTTCTGGCCTGGGGAAGAACTATGTGGAGCCCAGAAAGGTACACTGAGTGGCAGCTTCCTGCTGCAGGGGACTTGGCTCAGGGTCTGCCATCTGCCTTGCACAGAAGGGTTGGTGCCAAGGGTGTCCTGAGGCTGGAGTGTAAATGAGATGCGTGTTGAATGCTGATGTGGAGTTGTCTGTGAGGTTTCCTAAAGTAACTCCTGGCCCAGGCTGGAGTCCGGAAGACAGTGGAGATGATGGTTAGAACAGGAGGAGTGTGTAATGGTGCTTTCTCAAAAAATATGTCTGTCTTGTGTCCTGGTGATAGATGCCTTTGGTTGCCTCTCTGTGAATGCAGAAATGGAGAAATGTAGAATGGAGATGTTCTGGAGGTGCACCCTGCTGTCTCCAGAGCTGCCCTCAGTGTCTGTGCTGGCTGCCACCAAAGTGATGGTCTCACAGTGCTGTTCCTATTGTCTTCCAGATTGATGTGGATGAAGAAACTGCTGAGAAACTTTACCAAAAGCTGGTGGAACTGGAGAAGCAAACTCTAGAGAAATACAGTGATCTCCTAGATTAAGTTAAGCCAGTCTCAGTGGGATAACAGTCTCATATTGGTAATATGGACTTTCTTAATTCTGGTGCTACTTTTGATGTCTGCTGTTCTGCAAGCACTTGGCTCCAGACCCCATCTTCCCTCTCAACAGGAGGTGAACAGTTCCTGAAAATGGAAATGTGAAAACTGAAGAGAAATACATACTCTTTTTGGTATGGGATTTTTTTCTGGCATAAAACTGGAGACCTAGAGTAGGTAGAGACTGTCTTAATGCAGTTGCAAAGCAGTGTCTTGCAAAAGCGTGACTGGACCTGTGCACAGTTCAGGAACAGCCTCAAAATGTGTGGTTTAAATCTGGCTTAGTACAGGAAAGGCAACAGTCTGGGGTGCTGCCCTGCATCTTGGCTCTGCCAGTCTCTGTAGATGGCTCAAATGCATTACCTGTGGCTGATCCTGAAGTACCTGAAGGCCCGTCTTCAGAAAAGCTGCTCTTCATTAGTACACCAAAGCTGGGGCCAGCTTTCCAGATGTGCTCAACAAGACTGAGCCTTACTGGGAGTCAGGCTGTGCTGAGCATCTGAAGCCAAGCTCCTGAAGAGCTGGCCTGAGAAGCACACCCTTTGCCTCAACTGTGAGGGCAGATGCCTTGCTGCCCCTGGGTATGGGGCCGTACGTGTTCTAACCACCACCAACTGGAAAGACTGAAGCTGCTGATGTTAACCTGGGCTCAGGGCTAGGCTGCTCTGTCTGTAGCAGGAGAGAGAGGTTACCATGTTTTATCTGTTTAACTGTCTTTTTAAATATAAATCTATTGTACCAAGTATTCTTCCTGTTGTCTATCTGGGGAGCTTCACTGAGTACCTGGTGTACTTCAAATGCTGCAATGAATAAATGACAGGAACTGACTTGTCCTTGCTGCAGTGGTGTTTTTACTCCAATAGCTGGCTGCTTTTGAGTTGGAGGGCTGGAAGGGAGTTTTGTTTCTGTTGCCTTGCACAATAAGCCTGTGCATATCTGGGAAGTGTGAGGTCTCTTCTTTCCTGCCATGGGGGAGCTGTTAACCACCTCTTTAGGCTTACTTCTCTTGTTCCTTCTACTTAATGAAAGACATGAATTCTGAAGACCTCAGTGTGGGTTTTTGTGTTGAGCACCTGTGGGGTGTCTGACACTATTTCCCAGCCTTAGGAACTTGGGATATGTAGACATCTCTGGTGCTTGCTCACCCTGCTGTGTCACATAATCACTGATTTTGATGCTCCCTCGGAAGGGAGGGTTACAGCGTGCCCAGGCTGAATTCCATACTGAATCTAAACCACAACACTATTCTAGCTCCTAAGAAAATTATTACTATGCCAGGCAAAACCAGGACACACAGCAAGGTGTGTCCTGATCATAGGGGCTCAGTCAGGTTTAATGACAGTGTGCAGTGGGGAGGGGTACAAACAGTTGGCATCTCAGGGAGGCAGGCATCTCGCCCCTGGCACAAATACAGGCTGGGTAATGAA